TGTGTGTGTGTGTGTGTGCTTGTCTGTGTCCTGTGTCTGTGTCTGTGTCTGTGTCTGTGTCTGTGTCTGTATCTATATCTCTGTGTGTGCGTGGGTATGTATTATATACACATGCCAAAGCAATCTGAATCGTGGACACAAGTCCCTCCCATGACCTACCTAACCCTGCCTCCCTAACACAATAGAGTGCGTATGACTAATGCGGTGTCTGCTGCATTGGGTGGCTTTGCTGAGGTGGTCATTGGCGCATCGATGGAAAGGCGAGAAGGAGATGCGTACGCTTTTAATGAGCCGTTGCTCGAGGGCACTCTGTTCAATTTGGAAGGGGTATGTTTGGTTTATATATAGCCTGGCGTAAATTTCTTATTTATGTACAAATATGGAAGGGGTATGTTTAGTTTATTTATAGCCTAGCGTAAATGTCTTATTTATGTACTGTCTAGCATAACAGGAAATGTATATATGTACAGTCTAAACCCTAAACCCTTATAACATCAAAGAAATTGTCTTATTTATGTACAGTCTAACAAAACAGGAATTGTCGTATTTATGTACAGTCTAAACCTTAAACCCTAAAACATCAAAGGAATTGTCTTATTTATGTACAGTCTAACAAAACAGGAATTGTCTTATTTATCTATTAATAGAATGGATTGGTAACACTCGTACACTTTATTGATAAAATGCATCAGTATTACTCGTATACTCTATTAATAGAATGCATTAGTATTACTCATATTCACTATAAATAGAATTCATTTGTATTACTCATATACTCTATTAATAGAATATATTAGTAATACTCGTATACTCTATTAATAGAATGCAATAGTATTACTCCTATACTCTATTGATAGAATGCATAAATATTACTCGTATACCCCATTAATAGAATGCTACTCTATTAATAGAATGTATTAGTATTACTCATATACTCTATTAATAGAATGCATTGGTGTACTCTCATACTCTATAAATAGAATGGAAGTGGCGATTTCGTTGTTGCAATGATGTTTCTACAACCGGGTCGGCATGCGGGATCGGGCGGAGATGTGGCGACCATCCTGAAAGGTATGTTGAGGGACCTTATTAAGTGCAAACGTGTGTGTGTGTGTGTACAAACATATACATTACTTAGTGCAAACGTGTGTGTGTGTGTATACAAGCATATACATTTTTAAGTGCAAACGTGTGTGTGTGTATATAAGCATATGAACGAGATCCTGAAAGGTGTGTAGAAGGACTTTAACGGATGCAAGCATATGTATGTCTTTCTCAGCATGTAGGCGTATATATACTCGCACTTTTTTTTAAAAACGAGTCAGTGATTCATCCCCGTCATTTGTACCACTCGTGCAGTCATACGTATACATGTGTGCCAGAGGTGAGTGTGTTGATCACAGTCCGTTGGGACTGTCAAATGGTTTTCTCTTTCTGTTGAACCGCAATGCTATTAGCCTGTGATACATAGGCTCATCACCAGTCCGTGGTGATAAAGTAACTGCCTGTATGCCATCTGGTGCGCGTTGCCAGCTTCCAGGTTTTCAAAGGACATGAGGGCAGTACGGTTTAATAATAAACCTGGGGTTTTTTTCCTTCAGAGGAATACTGTGAGAGTTCCGAGGTTGCTAGTCTATTCATGCATGGTGGATAAGTCTCTGACGTGCTAGTGACCCATATATATCTATGCTTGTTTCATCCCGGTAGGCCGTGGCCAACAACCAGTTCAACTTATACCTACCCCCAACCAGCGCAACTTATACTAACCACCAACCAGTGCAACTTATACCTACCCCCAACCAGCTAACTTATACCTACCCTCAATCAGTGCAACTTATACCTGCCCCCAACCAGTGCAACTTATACCTACCCCCTATCCACACCCGTACCGTCTGGAATAAATACACATCAAAACATAGCTCGTTTTGGCTCTCAATCGCTTCTTTTTATTTATTTATTTATTTTCTGGTCAATTACAGAGGAGGAGACCCAACACCCTGGACTGAAGACACACATCACTGACCTCATGGGTTCAGGAGACGACATCATCCCAATCCTCGCCGATCGCTTCTCTGAATGCTTAGCCTCTGCAGCAGCCGCCAGCGCTGGATCTATATAAAGCACATAGCCACTATGTTATGGAATAAATATGTGTGTATATAGTACGGTGGTATGGCTATGTGTGTGTGGATTGTACTATGGGGTGTCTATATGTGTTTAGGGTTTTAATGTGTGTGTAGTATATAAGTGTAAATTTTGCTTGTGTTGCGGCGTTCATGACGAAATCGAGTGAGGTGCATGTGACAGTATATGTTGATTTGACGTCCATAGTATCCGTTTCAAGTAGACGCAGTTCTAACCCCCTAAACGTGACGGGTGATCAGTAAGCATGCCATTTAATATAACGGAACGTGAGTCTGCGAGTTCTGTCTCAGTACGACAAGGCACCTCTACACTATTTTGCCATTGACACCATTGGTCTACTACTAGCAGTATAAGTACCGGCATTGTGCCTAATTAAGCTTGCCGTACTGGCAGTCGCCCTATATACTACTCACTTCACACTGAGTGAGTGCTGACAGTGGCACTACATACCGGTCACTTCACTGTGAGCCAGCCCGATGTACCCCCACGCGATGGTTATACGATCCCTTTCTAAAGTACAACTAGTGTTTAAAATAGCATATAGTAGGTACAGAGGGTGTGATATTTCAATCTACGACCAGACACCAAATAAGTTAAAGCTTACAGGCAATCAACATGACCTTGACCTATCTTTGCTGCTTCCCTCAGATTTATTGATCCCTTAAACTTAATAGACTTGGGTTTATCTTCTTAAACTTGATAAACTCAGGTTTATCACGAAAGCGTAGGCTTCTCTTAAGTCCCTATTGACATTATCACCGATTTCCTGTCTGTTACACAAAATCTGTCCGTAACGCTTTTTGCCTATTTGTAGACCCCCTTGAAATTCCCCAATTTTAGAAATAATATACCCCTAACCCTGAGACCAGTCCCAGACTCTAGTTCCAGAACCCACTCCCTAAGCAAAGATCTGGATATCTTTTAAACGTGAATAAAAACAAATAAATTACCTCTTATGTTTAAACGCTTTCGATCCCCACGGCTTCCCTGCCGTGATTTATTAATCCTTCTTAGACCTGATGAACTCGGGTTTATTTATTCTTCTTAAACTGAATAAATTCGCGTAATAGTGAAATCTGTACGTATTTACTCAATGCCCCATGTTTAAGCTGCAACTGCTAAGATATTTTTTTAGGGTTCTTTTTAATATACATGACCGCCTTCGAGCTCCAGTGTCGCGGATACTTGCATTGCGCTCACGTCAGGACAGAGCTTGGTCCCTGAAAACCCTACACCCCCGAAACCCTAAACATTTTTCCCGATTGGGGTAACGGGGCCGCACACGTTCCTGACCAGCCAGACATGCCTGTTCTGTCCGCATGCGATACCCTCATTGGTGAATAAGCGTAGCGTGTTTGTGTGGATATAAATAGGTTAGGTTCGTTCATCGCCATAGATAGACTGGCGATATAGTATGATCATGAGCCGATTAGCTTGCTGTAGGTGAGTGGCTATGCGCGTGCGTGTACTGGTTTCCGTGGGCCAAGCACAGGCACGGCTGAAGATCTCTGCGCCGTACCGTTTAATTCAGCAAACGATTGACCACCACCTGGACGTTACCATCGTACTCCCGCAGAAGTCGTATGTTATCGGCCGCATCCGCAAAGTCCATATCCAGCAACACCTGCATTTCTGCCCCGAACCTAAGCACAGGTAAACGGATGGATATTAGAGGCAAAGTAGGCTAAGGAATCAATGCAGATAAATATCTCGACGAGTGCTCAAGCCGAACCCATGTCTATATCTCATAACCAGATACAAACTCATCAATAAACGCCGTTGA